GTTCACCTGCTCAGCACTTTACACAAGGAGATGCTGTATGGGAGAGTGATGCAGAGGAAGCCTTTTCTCCACTCACAAACAGAGCTGCTTGAGGTTTGCTAAAGCACATTTGGACAAGCCAGCTTCATTTTGGAATAAGGTGCTGTGGACTGATGAAACTAAAATAAAGTTATTTGGGCAGAACAAGAGTCGTTATGCATAGAGGAAAAAGAACACAGCACTCCAAGAAAAACACCTGCTACCTACAGTAAAATGTGGGCGTGGTTCCATCATGCTGTGGGGCTGTGTGGCCAGTACAGGGACTAGGAATCTTGTTAAAGTTGAGGGACGCATGGATTCCAACCAATATCAGCAGATTCTGGAGACCAATGTCCAGGAATCAGTGACAAAGCTGAAGCTGCTGAAGCCGAGGCTGCATCTTCCAACAAGACAACCACCCTAAACACTGCTCAAAATCTACTAAGGCCTTCATGCAGAGGAACAAGTACAACGTTCTGGAATGGCCATCTCAGTCCCCAGACCTGAATATTATTGAACATCTGTGGTGTCACTTAAAGAGAGCTGTCCATTCTCAGAAACCATCAAACCTGAATGAAGTAGACATGTTTTGTAAAGAAGAATGGTCTAAAATACCTTCAGCCACAATCCAGACTCTCATTAGAAGCTATAGGAAGTGTTTAGAGGCTGTTATTTATGTGAAAGGAGGATCTACTAAATATTGAGGTAAGGTTTTTTTTATAGTGCCCAAATTTATGCACCTGCCTGATTTTGTTTAACCAATTATTGCACACTTTCTGTAAATCATATAAACTTCATTTCACTTCTCAAACATCACTGTGTTTGTCCCCTATCTTGCATTTAACTGATATTTTTAATCCAAACAATCAATGATTTATAAAGGAGAATCAGGAAAATTAACAAGGGTGCCCAAACTTTTACATATGACTGTAAGTGTGCTGTAGGAAACAGTCACATTACTGACTTCTGTTTCAGTGACTACTGGTCTCAGCAGACCTTTCATTTCACAAACTAACAAGATTATACTTTTTTGTTTGATGTAAACAAATGACTGTAAGAGAACTGCCTGAATTCTTTTTTCCGAGGAACGGTTGTTGGGCTGGGATGGTTGGACACACTGAGGAGAGACACTTCTGTTGGACAAAGGATGTTAGAGATGGATCTGCAGGCAGGAGATGACAAATGTTTGTTTGTCAGGTTATATTAATAATAAAATTTAGCAAGAGGAAATGAAAAAATCACACCAAGCAAAGACTCAAGCGGAAAACAGCTGTCCGGCCAGTGAATGGGCTACCAGTTTACTTAAGGGGGGGGGGGGGGGGTCAATGCTCCCCTTGCCCCCCACCTCCCCCTCTAGTAGCATCTCTGGATCATTTTCTGATAGGGTTGGGCATAAACTTATTGTGTGCAATTAATCGTCAAAAATACATTAATCGATTCGTTTTTGGCGCTTGAAGATTAATACGATTAATGCCGCCAGGCAGACTGACTGGTGCTCCTCGCCGCTTCAAATACAGCGGGTAAAATAAGTATTGAACACGTCACCATTTTTCTCAGTAAATATATTACTAGAGGTGCTAATGACATGAAATTTTCACCAGATGT